AACATCATAGCCACCCCGAAATCAAAATTCGAAAAAACAGTAAAAAAGTTCGCGGTGTCCCCCTTAAAACGCTTCGAAATGTGTCCCTGCTTTGCACTTTCCCTTGGGCACACGCAAGCGTTTCCTGTGAACCATAAACACACACTGACAGTATAGACTGTTATCACGGATTGTGGAGGTTACCATGCCAAGAACACTACTACCTACTGCCAGATCAAGTACGACCGGTGCAAACAAACACTTACGCAAGCAGCAACAACAACAACATCGAGGGCATGTCTTCGACCATGTCACAACAACCACCACCACAAAAATGTGATGTCCTCTCCAGTACTGGCTGTTTCACTCCTCTTTTCCAACTTTTACTGACAATAATTAATGGTATTGTACTACTTGCTGGTGAAGAACTGAAGTTCGACTGGTGAAACAGTCAAACAGGCAGTAGCACCCTTTTCACCAGAAGCAAAAACATCGCCACTACAAAGCTCTGTGTGCCCTTTTCTGCCAATTAACTGATTGCCATGCTGTCGGTAGTTTGTTTAATCAGTTCGGGCACGGATTGCTTGTTGGAGGTGCTACTGCTGCTTGCCAGTTGCAGTCAAGTCCCTGACAAGTCAGTTTAGTTTTTTTTGTTTGCCCACCTGTCCACTCACTGCCAACCCCGTTCACCATTACCAGAATGGTCACCTTCCTATGCTNGTTTAATCAGTTCGGGCACGGATTGCTTGTTGGAGGTGCTACTGCTGCTTGCCAGTTGCAGTCAAGTCCCTGACAAGTCAGTTTAGTTTTTTTTGTTTGCCCACCTGTCCACTCACTGCCAACCCCGTTCACCATTACCAGAATGGTCACCTTCCTATGCTGATCACCACCATCATCAGCAGCAGAGCTTCTCGGTGTTCAGTACTGTACAGCAGACTTCACTTTACTTCACTGTCTCTTTCCTGCTGCTGCTGCTGATGTTGTACGACAAAAACCAACAAAAGAAGCTGTCCGAATTGTCACCGGGGCAGCATCTGCAGCATCAGCAGCAGCGGCATCAGTGGCCTCTGCAGTACCTCGGCGTATTACCTCTTCAGTCGTAAAAGCAGACTTTTACGACTTTGTCCCTGAGACTGCACCGCATCAAACCCAGTGCAGACGCCAATGTGTGTGTACTGTACCGACGCCATCTTCCCATTAACTGCTTCTCTCCCTCTTCTATTTGGATTTTAATCTCTGTCCAGCCTACCTTTTTTTATTGCCATTATTTTTGGCCATTCTAACTGCGAAATTCTACTGCGGCAGCAGCAGCAGCAGCAGCAACTGACAGCTCAGACCGTAGTAATTTCCCTGAGGATCGCGCGAGCGCGCTCACACATCTCAACATCATTATCATCATTGCATCATCGGCAGCAGCAGCAGTATCATTTACTTTGACATTTGCTCTGAACTGAACATTTATTCGATTACGGTTTTTAACCATGTTCGGCAAGGGTCCTCTGGCCCCAGGTCTGTTCTTGGTGGTGGCCGTGGTGGCGGTGCTTTTCCACACTTTCCCACCCTCCTCGGCCCTCAACCTCACTGTGATACACAACAATGACTTTCACACGCGCTTCGTGCCGATGAAGTCGAAGAACTACGCCGAATGCGAACTGGACAATGCCACCGAGTGTATCGGCGGTGCCGCGAGAACTGTCGCAGAGGTATAGAGGAGATTCGAAAAAAGGAGGACTTTTTTTAATTGTTCCAAACTTCTATTTCCTCCTCCTCCTCCTCCTCCTCCTGAGCAGATGAAACACCTGCGCGAGGTGAGCGAACGCGAGGGCGGCAATCTGCTGTTCCTGAACGCCGGCGACCACTTCCAAGGGACCTTCTGGTACACCATCCTCAAGTCGGAGGTGGTGGCGCAGTTCGTCAGTCTGATGGAGCACGACGTGATGGCCATCGGCAACCACGAGTTCGACGACGGCCCCGAGGAGCTGGTCTCCTTCATCCGCAAGGTGAAGCTCTCCGACCGGCGGCGGATGAGCATCCTCAGCTGCAACATCGTGGTCAACAATGGCAGCGAGCCGCTCGCCGGGCTCATCGAGCCGTCCACGGTGAAGACCATCGGCGGCCTGCCCGTCGCTATCATTGGTAAGCGGTGAGCTGACAAGGGAAAAGTTTTTACTGATCAGTATGAAAAAATCCTCTCTCTAGGCTACACCACACCGGACACAAAGTTCCTCTCGAAACCAGGGAAGACGGTCACCTTCCGCGACGAGGTGGTGGCCATTAAGGAGGAGATCGCCCGCCTCAAGGCCCTCCACCCACAGCTGAACATCTTCATCGCCGTCGGGCACTCTGGCTACGAGCGCGACCTGGAGATCGCCGCCGCCATCGCCGACCTGGACCTGGTGGTGGGCGGACACAGCAACACCTTCCTCTTTCCACAAAGCAATGGTGATCAGCCGCCACCGCCTTCCACGGAAAAGGTCGAGGGCGACTACCCGACGGTGGTCAACCACACCGACTCGGGCGAGCGGACGCTGGTGGTGCAGGCCTTCGCCTACGGAAAGTACCTCGGCAAGCTCGACCTGGTCTTCGATGAGGCGGGGCGGGTGGCCAGCTACGAGGGCCGGCCCATCTTTCTCAGCACCGAGTTTGTCGAAGGTGAGTGTGCTGCTGCTGCTGAGGTGAAATACTAGAAGTAATACTGCAAATACTGAAAGCTCAGTGGTTTTTATTTAGATCCGCAGACGAAGCAGCTGGTGGAGAGNGTGCTGCTGCTGCTGAGGTGAAATACTAGAAGTAATACTGCAAATACTGAAAGCTCAGTGGTTTTTATTTAGATCCGCAGACGAAGCAGCTGGTGGAGAGCCTGAGCGGCCAGCTGAACGCCGACCTGGTGAAGGTGATCGGCTTCACCGAGGTGGACCTCGACGCGGACACCTGCCGCTACGCGGAGTGCAACCTGGGCAACCTGATCACCGACTCCATGGCGCGCTACTTTGCCCGCAGGTACTTTGACCAGAGGCAAAACAAAGATGAAGAAACAATGGTCTGCAACAGCACACTGGCCATCCTCAACGGCGGCAACATTCGCATGAGCATCAGCGCGGGAAACATCACCTACAAGTCGGTCCTCTCGACGCTGCCCTTCGGCAACCAGCAGGGCGTCCTCCGAGCGAACGGCTCCGAGCTGAGGGCCGTCTTTGAGCACTCGGCGAGGCAGTTCCGCCGCGGCGGCTTCATGCAGGTCTCCGCCGGCCTGCGCGTCACCTACCGCCACACCGGGGCAGCTGATGATGATAACCTCCATCACGTGGAGCTGGCGGAGGTGGAGGCGCTCTGCCAGGACGGCTGGGCGCCCCTTGATGGCAGCGGCAAAGTGTACCTGGTGGCGCTGAATGAGTTCATCGCCAAGGGCGGCGACAACTACACGATGATCAGCTCGGAGGGCTGGGTCGACTACCAGCTGACCGACCTGGAGACCTTCACCCGCAGCATCCAGGGGGCGCCCAATGCCACGGCCCAGGTGGATGGGCGGCTCATCTTTCTCGGCAAGTCATCCGCCTCTTCCGCCGGACTGCAGATGAGCTGTTTGGTGGCGATGGCGGTGGTGGTGATGATGGCGATGGTCAAAGTATGATGGTCGATGGAGTACTGTAGTCACGGAGTTCAAGGAGTAGATGTTAATTAGTGTAAATGTAAAGTATGTAATAAGTAAGTAAAGCAGTATGTGGATGTGTGTTTAAGGTCAAACTCGACTGTACAAGATCACAATTGCGGTTTTGT